CGGCTGGGGAGGCCTGTGGCGGGGATAATGGCGGCTGAGGCGGGCCGGGGAGGGGATGATGGCTGTTAGGGGGAGCTCTGGTGGGCCGGCGGGAGGATAATGGCGGCTGGGGAAGGCTGAGGCGGGCCGGGGAGGGGCGTAATGGTGAGTAGGGGAGGCTGAGTCTGGCGCAGGGAGAGGCCGCAGCGGCAAGGTGGAGGGTGGTGAGGCTGTGATTAAGAGAGGAGGATAACGACGGGCTGGGAGAGGCAGAGGTGGGAAGCAGGGTGATGGCAGCCAGGGGGGGCTGCAGCCTATGGAGTAACGGTTTGCCACGTCCCTTTGGCCCCCCCTGTTTAGATGGTACAGCATCCCTACAGCCCTGCTCCCAGCTCCCCCCAGCACTGTGAGCTGACTGTGATCCCAGCATCCCCTTTTCTGTTCCCCAGGATGGGAATCCATGGCCTGGCCAAGCTTATTGCCGATGTGGCTCCTAGCGCCATCCGGGAGAATGACATCAAGTCTTACTTCGGCCGGAAGGTTGCTATAGATGCCTCTATGAGCATCTACCAGTTCCTGATCGCCGTGCGACAGGGAGCTGAAGTCCTTCAGAATGAGGATGGCGAGACCACGAGCCACCTGATGGGCATGTTCTATCGGACCATCCGCATGGTGGAGAATGGCATCAAGCCGGTTTATGTCTTTGACGGCAAAGCCCCGCAGCTGAAATCAGGGGAGCTGGCAAAGCGGACTGAGCGCCGGGCTGAGGCTGAGAAACACCTGCAGGAGGCTCAGGAGGCCGGGGAGGAGATCAACATCGAGAAGTACAGCAAGAGGCTGGTCAAGGTAACCCAGCAGCACACCGATGAGTGCAAGAAGTTACTAACGCTGATGGGAATCCCCTACGTGGAGGCGCCGGGGGAGGCCGAAGCCAGCTGCGCTTCCCTGGTGAAGGCTGGGAAGGTCTACGCAGCTGCCACGGAAGATATGGATTGCCTGACCTTTGGCAGTCCTGTCCTGATGCGGCATCTCACAGCCAGCGAGACCAAGAAGCTGCCTATCCAGGAGTTCCACCTGAACCGTATTCTGCAGGATCTAGACCTGACCAGGGAACAGTTTGTGGATCTCTGTATCCTCCTGGGCTGTGACTACTGCGAGAGCATCCGCGGCATTGGGCCCAAGCGTGCTGTTGAGCTCATCAGGGAGCACAAAACCATTGAGAAGATCATTCAGCAGATAGACACCAAGAAGTACCCTCTGCCTGAGAACTGGCTCCACAAAGAGGCCCAGAAGCTCTTCCTAGAGCCTGATGTGGTCAACCCTGACACTGTTGAGCTGAAGTGGACGGAGCCGAACGAAGAGGAGCTTGTCCAGTTTATGTGTGCGGAGAAGCAGTTCAATGAAGAACGGATCCGCAACGGGGTCAAGAGGCTGAGCAAAAGCCGGCAGGGCAGCATGCAGGGCCGGCTGGACGACTTCTTCAAGGTGACAGGCTCCATCACCTCAGCCAAGCGCAAAGAGCCAGAGACCAAGGGGTCGGCCAAGAAGAAAGCCAAGACCAGCAACACCGCAAAGAACAAAAAGGGGAAATAGCCAGACTGGCTGACTGCAACCCCCTGTGATTGGTTTTTATGCTCAACCAGGAATTTTAGGCTAATAATAAACGGTCGTTTTTCTGTTCTGCGTGTTAGTGCTAGGAAGGATCCTGCTCGAGTGCTTCCCAACAAGGCTAAGTTAGTGAATCAGATAAGCATCTTCCTGCGCAGCAGTAGTAATGTATGAAGTGAGGAGAGAGCTGAAACAACCACAACATGGAGGGGTGAGGAACCTGGGGGTCCCGTTCAGCGGCAGTGTTCATCCATTTGAGACTCAATGAGACCACCAGGACCAGAGGTGATTCCCAGGCTGTGCATTAAAGGGAGGTGCTGATCACAAACACACTCTCTGATTTAAGAAATAAAAGTGAACAGTCAGAGAGCAAACTGGGTACAAATGGTAAAATTTCTGCCTGACAATCCATCCAAAAAAGAGGTAGGTGCAAGAAGCAGAGGCTGACAGAAAAACTGGGAGATGTGAATGGAAGGCAAGGTGGAGTTGGGAAGGAGACTTGAAATAAGGAGGTAAAATTCTCCCTTTACTGAGGATTTGGTATAGGTTCATTCTTATTGTAGTCATTTTTCTTTGTTTAAAAAAAAAAAATTGTAATCCTGCTTCCAGCAAAGTTCTGCCTGCTCTGAGTGCTTTAAGTGAGGGCAAGCTGAGCTGAGACTGCATCTCTCCAAACCTGAATTTGGCTGTTAGGTTCTGTTTGATGTTTAAACAGAAAAATTGTCAGTAAACCTAGAATGGAAGCCTATTCACTCCCTGGTTGCATGAGGCATCCTTCTGTGTTGTACACGCAGAGACAGGTCCCAGGCTAAGAAGAAAAAAGGATAGTGCCTCTTTTTTTTTTTTTTTTTTTTTTTTTTTTTTTTTTTTTTTTTTTTTTTTTTTTTTTTTTTTTGTATTTGCATAGCCTTTTTCTGTTGTCAAAGCAATGTGCTGGGTTTTGTTTTCAGAATAAAATTTATACACAAATACAGTGTTTCTTATTCTCTGAAGAGGTGGCTTAAACCTCGCTGCTGAAGGCTGCACAGGTGAAGAAAAACCCCAGTTTTAGAGGGAAACCTGTTAGTGACAACAGCTAACAAGTCAAGCACAGGCCTGAATACAGGAAATTTGAGTTTTAAGCTTCTGGATGCTTTGTAGACATCAAAGATCTGTGAGTGAACTCTGCCTAGTTATAAAATAAGAAGCTGAGCTTGTTTTGCAGGGGAATTGCATTAACATTGATAAAATAATCCTGATTTTTAAGCTACCTCTGAAATTTTCTTAAATATACTGTGAAGATTAGCAGCAGCCACTGCACATGAAGCTTCTTGAGTTGGATGTCCTGCCTGGCTGACCTGCCGTGCATGTGGGAAAGAGCACCCAGAGCAGAGCACCCAAAACTTGCAAGTCTCAGTGTTTTTTCACAGGGTCTTGGCTTAACCTTAATTCCAAGCCCTAAACTGGAGTTATTTGGGCAGGAGGAAGCCTGGATGCTTCCAGCATGGGCAGCTGTAGCTGGTGTGCTTTGAGAGGGACATCTGCTCTCCATGAGCACTTATCCCATCACATTATTGGCAAAATCTGCACCCAGAAAGCCAGGAAAGTGCTGCAGAGAAAATCAGATTTTAAAAATCAACTTGAGGGGTGATGTTTTAGCATATGGTCTTATATACATAACTATGTATTTATATATTTAACAAGGCTTCTATCTGCAAGTATTTGTGCTTTCAGCACGGAATCCTTGTCACTGAGCCACAAGCTTTTTTTACCTCCACTGGAAAAAAACCTGCTCAGACAGTTTAAGTAACTTCTAAACATCCTCACTGGTTTGTGCTTCCTGAGGGAGGAGTGGAGCTCAGGTGAAGGTCTCGCAGTTTTCCCTGGAGGCTGTAAGGTGCAGCCTTGCTGGGCAGGTTAGTTTGAAATCCTGGCTCTGGGATGTTTCAGCGTCCACCATGTCCGCCTCCCTCTGCCCGTCCTCCCCCTGCCACGTACCCTCCACCCAGATTTACTCAGTCACCAGGGTGAGTTATCCCTACACTGTTACAACACATAGTAGGATATATATACATATATATATATATATATATCTATCTTATAATCCTGTTTTGTCTGTGAATACCTTATGACCACGTGGAAAGGTACAGTGAAATTCTGTTGTGAGGAAATTAGTGATTAAAAAATATTTGGAAGTAAGAGTCAGGAAAATGCTTATAGCAAGGAAGTAAACTAAGTCAGCAGCAGGAAAAAAAAAACTGCAAACTTGCTGTTTTCAACCTGACCCTGGTCTCCATAACTGGTTTCAGAGTCCTCCTTCATCCTACCCACTTCTTACCTCGTCGTGTTATGACGTGTCATGTTGTTAGGATGCCAAGAATAGCTCAAGGAATGAGATGGGAATGATCGAACATTTCTAAGAAAGTTTAACTGTATTTTCACATACCTTTAATTCACTTAACGTTAAAAGTTTGCTGCCTACCATTTTGTTAAGGGATGCACACAAAGCAGCCTTTAAGTGACTAATTTCTCTAATGAGCCTGAAGTAAAATCATACACATGATCACCCTGTTGACAGGACACAGTTTTGTGTTTGTGCACTTGGCCTGTGCTGTTACACCCCGGTACATGTGCTCTGTACCTTTGGGTTGAAATGCATCTTCTCCCCCTCTGTGGCTTCCCTTGGGGTGTTTGATGAAGGTTGCAGCTGCAGGGGAGATCTCCAGCCACAGAGGTGATCTTGAACTTCAGAAATCAGGTTTTTCTAAGTCCAGCCCATGAAAACCATTGCATGTGCAGGGAGGGAAAGTGGTTTCTGTGCACATTTGACTTTGGGTTCAGCTACCTTCAACTGAATAGTTTCAGTGAAGCTCTGAAATTGCATAGTTCAAACAGGAAAATAAATTCCAAACCCTGGCATCCCATTAAACATTTAGCACACTCATGGCTTCTTTCCCACCTGTGGCTCAGCACAGATGAAAACTTCCCCCCCTCCACATCAGCACTGAGTAGAGAGGTTAATGAGCCTTGCAGGGTAGCTGTGGGGGACAGGACCCAAGTCCAAACTCCTTCCAGACTTCCGAGAGTTCCTAACGATCCCCTCTGTGGCTGGCGTGAAGCTCTTTGCTCATCTCACATTTACTTCAGGGATTTTTTTTTGATGAGGGCCAAAGAGGTAAATAAACCCAGAAGCTGTCACCCTGCACAAGCTCCTCTGGGACAGCATCACCACCCACTCTGACAAAAACCTGGTGCCACGTGCTCGGTCTCACTTTGGAGCGTCACATCTGCAAAGTGCCGTTTCCCTCCTCCTGCAGCACCAGAGTCATTTGAAGAATGGGGGAAAACATCACATTTCTTCTCTCTGCCTTAGGACATTGCACACAAATCGCAGACGGATGCATCTGGAGGGTGGGTAAGAATGTGGTGTTAGGCAGGAAAGCAGGATTGTAGGCACAGGCTTCAAATGTAGAGAAAGATTAAACCCCCCCCAGCATACAAGTTTACTGATTCAGGACAAAAACTCATTAGCAGAATAGACCTGTATTTTCTGTCTGTCTGAATTTCTAGGCATTATCTTCAGAGCTTTCTAAGTATTTTTCCCCATCTCACTGGGATAAAACCTCTGAGAAAGCATTTGAAAAGCTGCTCTTCTGCCCTGAATGTGTGTAAACTGAACAGGGAAGACGAGCAAGACTGCACTACGCAGCAGCACGGAAAGCCCCGTAGCCTGGGACCGCTACACGGGGCTCAGCCTGCGAGGAAATAGTCAAGATTTTTCTCTAGGAAGAATAAAAAGACACTGCAAAGCTTAGAGCAACCTTCTGCTTCTGCCTGTGCTGCAGTATCATTCCTCATTTGCAGAAGGCGAGAGCTTGGTCCCAGCAGTAGGGTTGGGTGGATCTGTTACGGATTTTTTTTTGTATATAAGGATGTTTGTTCTCAAAAGATGTGAAAAGGGAAAAGCAGCTGCAGCCAAAACCTAGAAATATCCTACCAGCTATTTCTGCTATGTTGGAACCTCATAAATATTTGTAAAGTGAAAACTGTGTGTTAGAGATATATGTAGGAATCTGGTTTTGTACCAGAGGAGTGGAGAGCAGCGATATATCTGAAATGTGAGACAGCCACCCTGAGGGGAACTGCTAAACCCAAGAATGACGATTAAGTAACACACTGGGTGGCACCGGCTGCACGAGCAGAACTACCAGGCATCGCCCACAGCTCCTGTGCGCGCTCTGGGACAGCACGCTGCGGGGGGAACAGCAACAGCCCCTGTTTCGGTAGGTCCCAATCACACCTTTACAAAAAGTATTACAAGTGGCTTTGAACCGCAGGAACCAGCTGAGCGTTTGGTCTTATTATTTCAGAGAAATAGTTTATCCTCTCTCCCTGCTGCAGGAGGGGAATTGCAGGGGTGATCCATGCGGAAGAGATTTTACTGATGAGGTGGTTGATTAAAGCTTGGGCCCAGCAGTTGGGTTGGGTGGATCTGTTTTGGATTTTTGTATATAAAGATATCCGAGTGTTCTCAAAAAAATGTTCATTTAGTGGAAAAGCAGCTGCAGCCAAGACCCCAAAACCTAGAAACATCCTACTAATTATTAATCTTTCGCTCAGATTTTGCTCTTTCCCTGCTCTTCAGCTCAAGTACCACACCATCGCCTGCCTGCTTTGTAGTTCATGTTATTTTCACTGCCAGTTGTTTTTTCCCCACCTTTATATTTTCTGTTCTAAACAAAAATTTCCACTGCTATCACACTGATAATATTGTTAATTAATACCAGTATACTGTTGATACCAGAAGCGAGTCTTTCAGGCATATGAAGGATTCCTAACATCTGCTGTGCTCTGCTAGAAAGAGTAACTGGCACTGGAAGGGCTTGATTAGAAAAAAAATCCTGGGTGCAAGGTGTTGTGTAGTTTGAAAATGAAGGCACCAGTTTTCTTTCTGCTATATGGAGCCTTCAGATAAGTGGTTTATGGTTTTTTTTTTCCCTCACCTCCTGGATTCCCATGAATACAGCTAACAGCTTTCTATTACATAATATAACACATCATGTACAATTAATTTCTCAGTCTCACAATTGTAAAGAGCAGCCTGAAAATGCCTTCCTTCCCTACCTTGAGTGGAAAAAAAGCCCATGTAAATAATAGTTGAGCTGGAGCAGATAAAAAATTTGTGTAATAAAACCCTGTTTCACTGTGATTTGCAGCACTGGGGGGAATATTTCCCTCTGTGCTGGAACCTGACCAAGATTATGGACAGAAATGTGGCAGCTCAGCCTGTTCTTGCTACAATTGATCAGGAATTTCTGTCCCCGGCTGCCAAGTGACCCTCCCAAGTCCACCACAGCTCAGCTCGCTTGGCTTGCCGGGTTGGTGTGGGCAGCTAGGGGCCCAGCAAAGCTGAGCAGAGGGCACGGCGCATTTGGGGCACCCAGGGTTGGCATAACTCGTTTTGTTCAGTCTTCTCATGAAGAAAATTAAATACATTCCCCTTTTCTGCCTCCTATTCTAATGAAGCGAGATGACAAGTTAAATTTTTCGCCGCTTCTCCAGTTTTCAAATCATTCAATATTGGGGTTTTTTTAGAAAAAAAAAACAAACACCAAACTTCTTTTTTTATTATTATTATTTTATTTAGCCTCCTTATTAAAGAGAGTAAGGACAAAATGCAATTTCTGAAAGGTTTTGGATGAGTTGCTCTGGCTGTGAGAATTTGTTGAGACCTTAAGCACAGGTCGATGTTATCTCAAGTATCAAAGCTTTGTACTTTCAGCGGACAGCCTAACAGAGCACATGCTGATAGCAGCATCCTCAGCAGGCCATGCCATCACCCTTCCCTATTTCGCTCTCTCCTTCTTCCGACAGATGTGCTGCTACAAAGTGCAGTAATATGGCTCAAGGCAATCACACCATGGTGACCCACTTCATCCTCCTAGGACTGACGCGTGAGCCTAAGCTGCAGACTCCTCTCTTCATCATCTTCTTCATGATTTCTCTCGTCACACTGGTGGGCAATCTTGGGCTGATCACACTGATCAAGACAAACCCCCAGCTGCACACCCCCATGTACTTCTTCCTCTGCAATCTGTCTGTTGTTGATCTTTGCTACTCTTCCGTCTTTTCTCCAAAGCTGCTTGTTGGCTTCTTGGTGGAAAAGAAAAACATTTCTTACTCTGCCTGCTTTGTCCAGCATTTCTTTTTCCTTGTGTTTGTGACCACAGAGGTGCTCTTGCTGGCTGTGATGGCATACGACCGCTATGTAGCCATTTGCAACCCGCTGCTCTACATTATTTCCATGCCCAAGAGGGTCTGCATTCAGCTGGTGGCTGGGTCATATGTTGGGGGGATTTTGAACTCATTAATCCAAACATGCTGCTTGCTGCTGTTGCCTTTTTGTGGACCCAATGTCATCAACCATTACTTTTGTGACACCAACCCTCTGCTGAAACTCACCTGCTCTGATGACCACCTCAACGAGCTTCTGCTTGTAACCCTCAACGGGACCATTTCCATGTCTGTGCTCATCATCATCCTCATCTCCTATGTGCACATCCTCTTCTCAGTCCTGAGGATGAGGTCTGCCGAAGGAAGGCACAAAGCCTTCTCCACCTGTGCCTCCCACCTCCTGACTGTGACCTTGTTCTACGTGCCCGCGGGGCTGAGCCACATGCAACCGGGCTCCAAGTACTCGCTGGAGATGGAGAAAGTCACCGCCCTGTTTTATACCCTGGTCATCCCGATGCTCAACCCTCTGATCTACAGCTTGAGGAACAAGGACGTCAAGGATGCACTTAGAAAATCGACAGCAAATAATATTTTTGTGAGGTGCCTGCTGATAAAACTGACCCAAATCAGTTGATAAAACCCCTGCTGCTTCCCTTTTTAAATAGTCTTGAGTCAGCTGTCCAAAGGAGTAAGGAATCACTTATATTTACTGAAGCAGGTACAGCAAATTTTAAGCATGCTTTAAAATCTGCAGAGACTCAACATTACCAAACATCCAGCCATTAAAGGCCTCTCATAAACATTTCCTTGATCTCTTGTTTGTGGGTCTTTTGTCTGTAAAATGATGTCATATCATAGGAGGTGGTAAAAATAAGTTCATAAGGAAGTTCCTTCTTAAGCATAGCTTCTCAAGAAGTTGCACTGATTACTCCAGAGGCAAGTTTAAGGACTGGAGGCTTTTGGGGAGGTATATCAAAAAAAAACAAAACCAAAACCACCCACCAAAAAACCCACCACACACCTCACTTTGGGCTAACTACAAGGAAAAAAATTTCATTTGCTTCCAGGAGGATGTGCCATGAAAGGTAAGAAAAGGGAGAAGCAGAGACCGCTGAGATGCTGGGGGATGAGAGCAGCAAGTGCTGTGCCCTAGCATCAGGAAGATGTGAAATCAGTGAGTGAAAAGAACGCCCCAGCATGGCTGTGACTGTGCCAAAAAAACCTCTGCTGCTTTGCCTCCAGCCCTGGAGGGACCTTCCACTGTGCAGCTGGGAGCTTTTCCTGCTGAACTCCCAGGAATTTTCCTCCCTGGGGGATGAAAGCTGCGGCTTGTCTCTGCCTGTACCCGACAGCATAGCAGGGCTCTTGGCCGCCCGCATGGATCTCATCCTACACCTTGCTTCCTACAGCTGCAAGATGCTTAACTCAGCCAAACGGGTTTGTTCTGCGAGGGAAACAGGCTTCACCTTCCATCTGCTTTAGGAGGAGAAGCAGCGGCAGCAGGGAGTCGTATTTCTCCCTGTTAGCAAGGAGTTTAGCAGGATTGACTGTAACTAGCAATGAAGAAATTTTTTCCCCCCTCTATTTTCTTGTCACAGGGCAGTTGTAAATAAATGTAAATGTAAGGGATGCTGCACAAGCTCATGCGCCCCAGAGCAGAGACAACTGACCGTGACCCAAGAGAGACCCTGAGCAAAAAGAACTGGGATGCCACGTCCCCACAGAGAGAAGAGGGAGGTCACCTGTCATTTAATGTTAATTTGCATAAGGCTGCATCTGAGTTAGTCCAGACATTGTTTTTTTCATAGCAAAAATAAAAGCTAAATACTCCTAGCATGATTTATTTTAGATGGCCATAGAAATCATGACCTAAGCACACCCACTGTATTGTTATACCAATAAACCAAACTTTTTACTTTTTTAATCTCAGATGCAAGATTGTGGATACCTTGTATAGAGTAAAATAAAAATCTATCCAGAGCATGCAGCTGAGCAGGGGCCATTTTTCTTAAAAGCCAGCCACAGGAAAAGGTGAAGGGCAGGAGATCTTTATAACACTTACCTCCATAACCGCTTGCTTTATCCTCAGCTTGGACACTAGAGGGTCTTGTCTCACATTAGGAGTTGTTCACTCTATTTGCATAATGCAACATGGCTGGGGGAGCAGCAAGGACCAGTTACTCCCTACAAGAAGGCAAACTGGGAGCTGAAGGTGGCCACGATGCAGGACATGGTCCCACAGCACCCAGCACAGCAGCAGCTCCCATTGATAGCCCAGGGGAAACTGAGGGCCAAATTCAAGCCAGGAAAGCTGAAGACCAGGACAAAGCACAGCTACAACCCAGCTCTGAAAGTGGTTAAAGACCCAGGGCTGAGCTTAAATAGTGCCCGGAGCCTGGGGCAGACTGTGGGTGGCGGCCCCAGGTGATGCTGGCCATGGCAACTACGGTGGGTGCACTCCCTGATGTCTCAGGGTGAGAGGAATTAGGGCTTTTTCCCCTCCCAGGCTGTGAGCACAGCCAGAGCACCGTATCCAGCCTGCTCTGAGGTGTCCCCGTGCCCAAGGGGTGGAAGGACAGAGCAGAGAGGAGTGATGAGCTTGTGATTCTTATCCCTCCTCCTGAGACATGCAGAATAAGGCGCTTCAGATGTCACATTCTCATTTTCTTGGGGAAATTGTCCAAACGTCTCTACTTTTCATGAAAACTCCATCACAAGCTTTGTTTAAAAGCTTTTTAATTTCACTTAAAGCTGTTTTTAACTGGTTGCTGTTGCATTCATTCATTATTGATTACAGTTCTTTTAGGAAGACTACGGTTTACAAAGCTACTTATTTTAAAACATAAAATTTATTCACTTTGTCATTATACAAGCTACATGTTCTTCCAGGAATTGTGTAGTTCATTAAACATACAAGGTGTGGCTCAATTAGGTGTTAAAAAACCTTTGTCTGCTTTTTTAAAGCATCTTCCACATGATGACCTTCAGAAGAGTCGTAACTCAGTCAAATTACCACACAAGGCAGGAATCTGATACTGATCATCCAAAAAGGAAAAGATTAGTAGATGTAAAGACAACACGTCTCAAGAAGATTTTGGTTGGGACACAATTCTGGCAATGTGCTAACGTACATGTGCCCCCCAACAAGTTGTTAGCACAGCTCCAGGTCCCCTGAGCCAGGCCCATGGCTTTGTGCTTTCTGATGGTTCTTCTAGACAATGGACAAAAATTACATCTGAGGCCACAGCTGGACCTTCCCCACAATGGTCACAGTCCTCCCTGCTGTCGCCAGGTCACTCACATCTGATAAACATCCCCCTCTCATCAGAGTCACCTCCGGCAGCGTCCTGCAACCCTCTCAGCCCCTTCTTCTACAGACAACCTCTATGTCCCACTTGCAGCCTTTATGAAGGGGACCTCACTGATGCCTGTCTCAGAAAAGACTTTCTAAGAGCAGGTTTAACAACGCTCCTAGAAATATTCAGAGAGTCTGTGTCACATTGCAGCTCTCCATATATCACTGACTTAAACAGATTCTTCAAGCTTATTTGGGAAAAATGATTATGAAGCAGGCAAGGGAAGTATTAGTAATTATTTACCTCCAGTTTGAACATCCTTCTTGTGGGCAATATTTTCAGTTAACACAATTGAGACACAAAACATCATGGTCCTGTTTCAGTTTTGCTAGGAAAGCATTGACAACTATTTTGATTAATTATTGAAGGCTCACACCACAATTAAAATAAATTGACATAGTTTGAAGAGAACGATTTGTTATGGTGGTTCTCCATACCCCGTGCTTGCTGTGTGATCTCTTTATCTCTACACAGACTAATAATGACCGATAATGCACATTCCTTCATTACCAAAGAGCTGAAAATGCATTTTCAAAGCCTGGATAGACACAGCACCAACTTTCGCACCCACAGCCTCCTCAGGGCCCCCTTCACCTCCTTGTTCCTCAGGCTGTAGATGAGGGGGTTGATGGTGGGGGTCAGGACAGTGTAACACACTGAAAACAGCTTTGCCCGATCCCACACACACGCCCTGTGAGGCTGGACATAGGCGAGCATCCCCGGTGTGTAGAAGATGGTGATGGCAGCCAGGTGGGAGGCGCAGGTAGAGAAAGCTTTAAGCTTCCTCTTAGCCAAAGGGATCTGCAGGACGGTGTGGAGGATGCAAGTGTAGGAAACCAGGATCATCAGGGCAGAGCCCATGATGTTAAGTCCAGCGTTGGAGACATTCAGGATCTCGTTTGTGTGGGTATCGGAGCAGGAGAGCTTCAGGAGGGTGGGCAGCTCACAGAAAAAGTGGTTGATGCTCCTGGCCTGGCAGAAGGACAACCTCCCCGCCAGGACAGTGTGCCCCAGGGAGGTGAGGGAGCCCGTGGTGTACACCAGCACCATCATACCAGAGCAACGTGCCCTGGTCATGGTGGTGGTGTAAAGCAGCGGCTTGCACACAGCCATGTATCGGTCGTAAGCCATCACCCCCAGGAGGAAGCACTCACAGATGATCAGAGCAAGGAAAAAATATATCTGGGCAAAACAACCCAAAAAAGAGATGTGGCTGCTCCCTAGCAGGAAGGTCTCCAGCGCTTTTGGGATGACAGCAGAGGAAAGGCAAAAATCCATGAAAGATAAGTGGGTCAGGAAGAAATACATGGGGGTGTGGAGCTGGGGGTCGGCGTTGATTAGCAGGATCATCATCAGGTTCCCCAGTGCCATTAAAACATACAGGGATAAGAAAATTGTGAAAATGGTGGTTTGTAGCTCTGGGGCATCAGAGAAGCCCAAGAGGATGAAGCCAGACAAAACAGTGAGGTTTTCTCCATCCATCGTTTCTACAAGTTAGATGAATTTGCATAGAAATAAAATGAATCAGTGAAATAAAACCCTAAGAGAGAAATACCCTGGAAACATGGGAGTTGAATCCATAAAGTAAATGTAGTAGAAAATGCTATATTTTTGAGACAAATGCAACAAAACTGTATTTCTGCCTTTAGCCCAAGCTTCAAAGTCAAAGAGTTGAAGGAGCCATTACACATTAAGAGAGAATAATTCTGCCATGATTTATATGCATTGTACTAATGATACACTAAGAAACATCAAAAGTTTTATTTAAGTATAAAAAGTCAAATAAGCACATTCCAAAATGTGGAAAACAGAGAAGATACAGATTCTCACCACTGACTTCTGGAAATTTTAAGGATTTTCTTCTTTCTTTTTTTTTTTTTTTCAGACTGGATTAGCACTCTTCTGTGGCCTCACTAGTTCTGGTGCAGCCTTTTCATCATGAAACAAAGCCACACACTTGAAATTGTTGAGGGTTTTTTTAATTTCTAAGTTTATAGGCTTTTGAAGATAAACCCCTGCATATGCTGGGTCAGAGGTGGATCAAATAGCCACGTAACAATGTTAAAACATATTATACACAAATCAGACTTTTTAAAGCTTCAGCTTGGGTATTCCCATCTCTCCCATTCAGGTCCTCTGCAGATTAAATATCTGGTGGAGGATCTATCTACAGATGTCCACATCTCAGCTGAAAGGTCCCTAGGTCAGTTGTAGATGGGGTCAGAAGTGTGGGTTTTTTCAAACCAACCTCCTTGCCCCTGCTAGGGCGTTTGGTTTGACACCATGGATGCTCTTGGAGATCACGGATGGGCTCCCTTTAGCTGCAGCTCCACCAGTACATCCCAGCCTGAAACAGCATCCAGTCCCCCAGAATAAGTTGAATTAAAAAAATGCAGAAGGCTGAAATGAGTGCAGGAGGGTAATTAAGGCAACCTCTGGTGATCAGCTCATACGTGAACATGCAGCCCTGGAGAGGACAATCCTATCTTAAACAGCTTCATGGTTAAGAACATGCTAAATGTTATAAAAATATTTAAACGTTCAATAAATTATTTCAAATAATAAAAATATTTTAAATCTTGCCAAGTACAAATGGAGCTACTCTGAAGCATGAACCCATGCTGCAGGACTTCACAGAGCAGAAGGTTTTATTCTGAATTTTCTTCCCATCTCAACAGAAAAGCTGGCTGCTGTTCAAACATATGAACAAAACAGAAGTATTAATTAGGGGGGGTCTGGCTTTTTTTTTTTTTTTTTTTTTTTTTTTTGGTTTAGGTTTACCAATTGATCATTTGAATACAGAAATTTTTAAAAAATTACTACCATGATATGAAATTTTTAAAAATATATGCTCCTTGTAACTTGTTACACCAAGTCCAGCTCCCACAAAAAGGGACTGGTGTACATTTCTGAGGTATTAATCAATACAAAGGTATTTTTTGCAATATGAAGTATACAAACAGTTAAAGAGATAAATCGGTCGAGTCACAGTGGAGACAAAGTGTCGTGAAATGTGTTACGGGTTAAGGGATAATGGAGAGAACAGCGAAGAGACGGGCTGGATCTTCTTACACCACCTGCACTTAAAAATTATTTCAAGCACGTGAGAGGCAGCACGACAAGGGTCACCAAGTGGAAACGTCAAACCGTTTTTTACCTGCTTTGTTAAAAGGAAAGGTGTTGGTACATGTGGTGCCTGCAGCTCCTTGAGAAGCCCA